TGGTCGGCAAACTCATTAGTCAACAGAGCCAAATATCAACACTACGATTGAAATTTCTTTTGAGAGCCAAATTTTTTAAACTTAAATTCTATAGGTAGGTACATTGTTATTAACTTAATTAGGGTCCTCCTAAGGGTTAGGAAGAGCCACACTCAAGGGGCCAAAGAGCCGTATGTGGCTCGCGAGCCGCAGTTTGCCGACCATGGGACTAGGGAGATGCATCCCCTGTCCTGTCATTGAGCCCCCGCCCCCCATGTGGATTCACCGGACTCCTTAAATCATACAAAGGAGGCGCACCTCCCTGGCACTCACCCATCTCGATCTTCCTGCAAACCTGCTTTTTCTTAAAAACAAACAAACAAACATGTGAGCACTATTACACGTTGGCACGTTTGTGGCACCTCCAGTCCCACGCGTTGAACACAAGTCAAAGCTGTTCGCCCGAATACAACACAATTACAGAGAGGCCGTGTCGGAGGCGCCACAGCCGGAGGTGCTCACACCGACAGGAAGTGCCATGTGGATTCTGCCCATTGACGCCTCGGGCGAGGGGCCTGCGTGGGGTTCAAGCGCCTGGCCGGCCACGAGGACAACGTGGATTCATGATGGTCTTTGCCATTGTGATGGACTGCTGTCATCTACGCCTGTGTCACCTACCTCTCTCACACACGTATTGATTGATCCATCCTATATGCGAACACAGGACAGATGTCCCGCTTTCAAATGTGTAGGGATGTCATACATGTGCCAATTTGAGGTCCATGACATCCCAGGAGACCTAGAATGGGAAGACTTCCCTTCCAGTTCCGACGGCACCTCTCCTCCACAGAGAGATGCTGGAACCAGTCCCCACTGGCTCTCTGTGCCTCCGTTTCCCAATGTGTCACAGGAGGTGATCTCCTGCCCGCTCTCGTGCGGGAACCGAGTGAGGTTATCGGCAGAAAAGGGCTTTGGAAGAGGACAGAGCGCCGCACAGACGCGAGGGATAACGAGGCGTTTTACAATAGAGCGTTATTCCTTTGCTAAGACGCGTGCATCGCGCCCACCTTCCTGCCTGTGAAGGTTCTGCTTTGAAATTAAATTGAGACCATGGCCGACACCCTCCCAGGGCCGCCTGAGGTTCACTCCACAGCAAAGCCAGGGCTGCTTTTCATCATCCATCGCATCGAGTTCAAGCACCCAGAGGTACCTTTCTCCAGCGGTGAGCAGAGCTGCCCTCGCCATGCTAATGGGAGGATGAGGCTGGCTCTACAATTGGCACCCAAAAGGGCCTTGATCTGGCTTTGTTGGTGGCCTGTTCTTGCACCAGGACAATGGGAATGGGGAGAGAGAGAGAGAGAGAGAGAGAGAGAGAGAGAGAGAGAGAGAGAGAGGAGCCAAAGCTTTAGTTATGCCTGTGAATCATGAAAATCAGTATTTTCTTTTTTTTTCTTAACCTTAAAAAAATAATCTTCACCTGAGGATTTTTTCCCTATGATTTTTAGAGAGAGAATAGAAGGGAGAGAGACAGAGAGAGAGAGAGAGAGAGAGAGAGAGAGAGAGAGACAGACATCGATGGGTTCCCTTTGAGTCTGCAACCCAGGCGCATGTCCTTGACCGGAGTCAAATCCCGGACCCTTCTGTCCACAGTCTGAGGCTCTTTCCACTGAGCCAAACCAGCGAGGGCAAAAAGGTCCATTTTCAAATGAGAATCCTGTTCCATTTTTCCTTTCAGCCTGTAGTGCCCAGGGGAGCCCCCCTTGTTGGAAGTAAGTTAAAATCCTCTCTGCATTCGCTCACCCCTGGTCCACTCGCTATGTTCTCTACGGTGGTGGGATGGTGCCCCTACTTTCAACGTGAATATTTTCTCTCCTGCTCTGCACTGTCTGGAGATTGTTCCTAGCTCTACCAAGATAGGACTTCCTCTCCTACTGAAATCCCACCCACCCCTCCGGGCACATCTTAAAGGCCAGGAATCCCATGCAACTTCCCCCAACACTCCTACCCAATGCACAGCCACCCTTCATTTGTTTTCTGTCTTCTGTTGGCACATGAATCATTTTATCTGGTGGGTACATGTCTCCACTGCAATAAAGAAAAATCAAGGCTCCTTAAGGTCACTGAGCAACACACACACACCCCCCATTTGTTTTCTGTCTTTTATTGGCACATGAATCATTTTGTCTGGTGGGTACATGTCTCCACTGCAATAAAGA